TTAACCGCGGTCAAGTGGCGAGAATGACATTTGAGATCTCACCTTCCCTACACACACTGCAAACTTCTACAACACGCCAAAGGGAGGAATTTGATCCTCGACAGATTTAGTGGCCGCGGTAGCCGAGTGGTATAGGTATCGGACCGTGGCTTGCTTTGTCACGGGTTCGAATCCTGTACCACTAAAGACCTGCCGTGTAGGGCAGCTATGCACGTTAAATCTGTCGAGAGCTGAAACGTCCACCCGTTGGTGTGGTGTGGTAGTTAGGAGAGGGGGGTACCAGCTCAGGTGTCGTCTACGTCACTTAACCATGGTTCAAAATTACGTGGTCCGTCGCCAAAAGCCCTCGTGTAGCTGAACAGTGCGACGTTAATATTCAATCAATCAATCTCTCACCCTTCACTCGTTGCCATTAACCCTTGTGCTCAATTTAATGTAGTATTGACAAAAGCTTAATTAATCTATCTCTTTCATTGCATTGTGCAACAAAATTACCTTATCTGTTCCAATTAGATTTTTGAGAGTTGTTTTTTTAAAATTATTAGAATTTTTAATACAAAGGACGGTGTAGCATTCTCTCTGTCTAATAAAAAATCCTGTATAATAATACAGTATCAAATATTAAATAGTAACATTTAAGAAAAAAGCAATTGCAATACCTTTTTTATTTTATTTCTAATGGGCTGTCGATTGAAGTTTTTCCATTCCGGATCTAGTACATTCACCAAAAGCTGGCATCTCTTTTTAGTGCGGCACCATATAGGAGGATACCAATCGCGGCAGTTAATTTTGACGCCCAGTTTCCTCCCTAGGGGGAGGCACCTGAGCTCTGACGATGCAAACCTGTACTAGGATTTAATTTTGACTAGATTACCCAAGCCAAACAAACACTCTAAGGATACCGAGATTATACATACCGTATAATCATACGACATGGACACTGTCGATTTTCTGCATCATGAAAATCTACCAACTTGGACCAGGGTCGAACCCGCAACCTTAGGTGCAGAGTGAGTGAGTGAATATTAACGTCGCACTATTCAGCTACATGAGTGCTCTTGGCGACGGACCTCGTGATTTTCAACCATGGTCAAGTGACAAGGACGATACATGAGTTAGCACCCCTCTCTTCTAACTACCACACTACACCAACGGTAGGACGTTTGAGCTCTCGACAGATTTAACGTGCATCGCTTTCCTATACGGCAATTTGGGTGCAGAAGGCCAGCGACAAATCAACCACGCCAGCCAGCCGGCGCATTTGCAATATCTTAAAGTTAATTTTGGTTAAAATCCTATTTTAACAACAACCAAAAAGGAAAATCTGACTGATTGATTGAATATTAACGTCGCACTGTTCAGCTACACGAGGGCTTTTGGCGACGGACCAAGTAATTTTGAACCATGGTCAAATGACGTGGACGACACCTGAGCTGGCACCCCACCAACGGGAGAACGTTTCAGCTCTCGACAGATTTAACGTGCATCGCTGCCCTACACGACGGATCTTTAGTGGTACTGGGCTCGAACTCGTGACAAGGCAAGCCACGGTCCGATACCTATACCACTCGGCTACCGCGGCCACAGGAATATCTGACAAAACTAAAAGTAAACATATCGGATTGTAGTGTATTTTCAAACGTCACAAAAAGTACTACGTTTTATTATAGGTATGTATTATTATTCGTATCCATCTTTTCTAAAGAAAAAAAAAAGATCGTCCATTTTATTCTTAAATCCTTGTCTGGATATTGAATCTGTCAGTAGTGGAAAGAAAGATCCGTTATATTTTTCTCGAATCCATTCTATTCGGGAAAGAGTAGATTCTTACTTGAAAGTTAGGTGGACACTAACTGTGTGAGTCTAGAACAATGGTATGCTTTTACGATCACAGTTGCAACAAAAAGAATATGTATTTGGAAAAAAATGTGTTGTTTCCAAGCAGTTTATAAAAAAAGAAATTGGTATATTTGTTTCAAACGATTTCTGATAAACATATTACACAATAAAAGATAAAGTTACATTACTGTTTAACATTTGTGGTTTGCATATTGATAATAATAAAAACGTTTCCCACCAATCGGAACTTATTTATAATTTAATAAACAAAATTTATTATGTGAGAATATGCGTTGAATGACAACGTTCGAAATCGAGATTTTTAAAAGGTGCATAAATAATTTTTTAGCATTCAAAGGCCAGTTTAATTAGAACATACATAAAATATTGTTTTAAAAAATACTTTTACTAAAAAAAATTATTTAATGGCATTTTTTTTCCGCAAAAAAGGAAGAAAGAGAATGATTTTACATTTTCAAAACGTTCTCCTTTTATGAAAAATGCTTCTATAATAATATTTTCCAATATATATCTAGGGCTTCTATATCGGTGTTGGACGAAATGTTTTTAAATATATAATTCATAAGTGGATTTATATATATTTTATTATACCAAAGTAGAGAAATTTTAACAAACCCTTTGTTATTACAATTGATCGTAACTCAGAAAATAATGTGAATTTTTGAAATCTTTTCGATCTCGACCACAGTATAGAATTGATAGCTACATATAAGAAAAATGTAGCTTATAATAGAAGATTTCACAACAGGAGAATGTTTGGTAAACGTCATTCATTCATTATTTGTTGTCAAGAAATTGCACATTGAAATAATTTTTTTTGTAATAATATTCATAAGGTATCCGACTACGTTCTGAACCGTGATTTTGCAAAAGCACATAAATAGAAAATTTTCATGATATTTAGTGTCACTTAAATTAAAAATACATGTATATAATTGTTTTAAGGACATTTTGACAAAAAAAAATATTTAAATACAATATTTTGGCAAAACATTATCAATTATTAATCTTTTTTCAAAATGCTCTCCTTTCGTAAATAATGCTTCTATTATAATAATAGTTTGCCTATATATAGCTCCGACCTCTCTACAGAGGCTCAACTAGAATTTTTGAAATATATAACTTAGAAGTGGATTTATCCATATTTTACGACAACAGAGGGGAGCAATTTTAAGAAAAAACGCGAATAATTATTTCAACTGATGGTAACTGAAAATATGAATTTTTCAAAAATTCTAGTTGAGCCTCTGTAGAGAGGTCTGAGCTATGTACAGGCAAAATATTATTATAATAGAAGCATTTTTCACAAAAGGAGAACATTTTGAAAAAAGATTATTCTAAGTCAATTTTTTGCCACAATATTGTATTTAAATTTTTTTTTGTCAAAATGTCCTGAAAATAATTTTATGCATGTATTCTAATCTGAGTAACACTAAATATCGTGAAAATTATCCATTTATTCGATTTTTTAAAATCACGGTTCCGAAAGTAGTCGGATACCTTAAGACAATTTTATATGTATATTGATTATTATAAAGGGTGTTTTTTAGAGGTATAGAACTTTAAATTGCAATAAAACAACGATGTATTATTCGATTGAAATGAATTTTTTTTATTCGAAAGATAATCTTGTGGCATTGCATTTTAAATATGATCAAGCAAGGCGTAGATTCATCGAATGGGCCCAAAACGAGATTGCCGTTGTTCCCGATTTTCATAAGCAAATTTTGTTTAGCGATGAAGCGCACTTCTGGTTGAATGGCTACGTCAACAAACAAAGCTGCCGCATTTGAAGTGAAGCTAATCCACAAGTGTATGTCGAAACACCGTTACAACCAGAAAAACTGACTGTTTGGTGCGCTTTATGGGCTGGTGGAATCATTGGTCCGTACTTCTTCAAAAACGATGAAGGCCATAACGTTACAGTCAATGGTGATCGGTATAGAGCCATGATTACTAACTTTTTCATTCCTGAATTCAACAATCATGATGTCCAGGAGCTGTGGTTCTAACAAGACGGCGCAACATGTCACACAGCTCGTGCCACAATCGATTTATTGAAAGACACGTTTGCTGACCGCCTAATTTCACGTTTTGGACCTGTGAATTGGCCTCCAAGACCTTGTGATTTAACACCGCTAGACTATTTTCTGCGGGGCTATGTAAAGTCATTGGTCTATGCGGATAAGCCACAAACGCTTGACCATTTGGAAGACAATATTCGCCGTGTTATTGCCGATATACGGCCACAAATGTTGGAAAAAGTCATCGAAAATTGGACGTCCAGATTGGACTACATCCGAGCCAGCCGTGGCAGTCCTATGCCAGAAATCATATTTAAAATGTATTTCCACAAGATTATCTTTCGAATAAAAAAAATTCATGTCAATCGAATAATATATCGTTGTTTTATTGCAATTTAAAGTTCTATACCTCTAAAAAAAAACACCCTTTATGTTTATAAATTATTGAGTGGGCATGACTGTCTTTGTGTTCATTTGTATCGTTTTAATCTGACTGACTTCCCCCTTTTGTGGCGACGTTAATATTCAATCAATCTCCCCCTTTTGTGTGCTTCTGGTCAATCTTGGACGCTTCTGATCTAGCCGTGTGCTCTACAATTAACAGCGTGGATTGTATAGTGAAGAATTGGAGAGCTCGTTGCTTAATGACCTTATGGTCAATGGCCTGGCATTTGGTAAATAAATAAAATATGTATATTCTAATTCAGCAGACATTAAATATCAAAAAATTATTCATTTATACCCTTTTTCAAAATCATGACTACGAACGTATTTAGTCACCTTAGCACTATTGCTCTTAATGAAGGAGAAATGATATTTCGAAGAAACACTAAACAAGTAATATAAAAAAAGATGTAAATGAATTCCTACTAAGGTCTAAAAAGAAAATTGTAGTTGATTTTTATGAAATAGTTATAATTAATATAAATATGTATCTACATACGAGACAGAATCACAATATTAAGTGACAAAATAGAAAGTGATTTTCCAAGCAATTTTCCTTTCTATATATGGTGCTGGACATTTTTTGCTTGTTATTATGTCTTCATCAATTAAATTTAATTATTCTAATGAATAGTACAATAAAAAATGAAATCACATTCTCAGAAATTTGGCCATCCCAGGTGGGATTCGAACCTACGACCTTTGAATTAGAAGTCCAACGCGCTATCCATTGCACTACAGGGACCAACGAATGGTTTTCCTTTCTATACATGCTGTTGGAGTATTATTTTTGTTTGTTACTAATTATTCACTAATTAAAGAATTAATTTGAATTATATATATAAGTAATATAAAAAAAATTTTAAGTCAATTCCTACTTAGATCAACAAAGAAAAATTTTATTTTAACTACTTTTTATTAAATAGTTACAATTAATATAAATATGTATATACATATGGCAGAATCACAACATTAAATGGTAATTAATTTTTATTAGTTTTTATTAAAGTATCGTATGGTCATCCAAAATAGTAGTGTATATAAAATTTCAATTCAACTGAATACTTTAAAACATAAGAAAAAAAATATTTTAACGTTTTGACCCAAGTCGCCAAAGTGGCTGTATTTGTAATTCTTTAAACAATTAGTTTTAATCACAATTAATTTTTATTAATTATAGTTAAGTTATTCTGTTGTCCTCCAAAATAATCATGTACATAAAATTTCAGCTCAATTGATTGCTTTAAAATGTATTTCATTAGCTATTGAAAATTCCACCAAGATAAATAAATAAATATATAGAGAGTTTGAGCTGTAATAGAAGGAATTGAAAAACTGTATTAACATCTAGTGTCAGCCACTAATGGTTGTAAAAAATGTATTTGAATTTAAATGGATGAGAACAGGAAGTATTTTATTAACGATCGAAAATTTGAACAATATATATATGGAAAGAGTGAACTAATAGTAGGAATTGGAGAAAAAAAACATGCGTTTACTGTTCCAAAATGAAATTGTATAGTTACTCTCTTGCTTTTTATTACAAAATAACCTTCACTGTATATTAAAGTACGCTTTCTCAATCCACGCTTAAATTGCATTTATATTTTTTTAAAAAAAAAAGAATGACGCGTTGCGTTAAAACTCTATCCACTTGCATCTCTCTTCAGACCTTGGTTAACACTTATGCTAATTAAGTTTTCCTTATGCGTTAGCAACATCACAAAGATCATGAAGCAAAAATACGTTCTATTTGATAATGAAAAATATAAAATTAAAAATTTTCTTTCTTTCTTTCTTTTTTTTTATGATTTATTGTATTGCTTCTTTGCGTTTTTATATTGTTACCAATTAACAAATTTGTAATGATCCATTTTTCTTTAATATTCTTATGTCCCTTTGAATGCATTGTTAGAAATTTTTAATTTATTGAAGAAGAATTTTGGGTATATTAAGGAACAATTGCAAAAGTGCCAACGCTTAAGATAACTTTACAAGTTGACCACAGCGATTTCGTATGTGTCGTATGCGTTGAATTGGCAACCAGGTGTTTTGTTTCATATAATGTCGCCAATATGGTTGCGATTACATAACGAATTTTGAATATGAATAATGATAAATTTAATCCAGTGAGGGGGTTTTCGATACATTAAATGTTAAAACAAGTAATGGGTAAAAAGTTTTTAAAAAGTAGTACATCCTTTTTAATTAAATTTGCTTCTATATATTTTAAACATAGTACGGTACATGCTTAAGTTTGTCCTATTTAAATAGGACACGAGTTTAAAAATATGCACTTATGACTATTTCTTACTAATTTTAAGACTTCAAACATTCATAACAATAAAAATCTAAGACCAGAGTTTGAATTGTAAGTAAAAACCATCAAATTTAGAGTAGAAATAAAAATAATAATCAAGAAATCAAAATTTATTTTTAATTTAGAATTATTACTCATCAAGAACAAAAAAAATTATTTATTCAACGTAACTGAAATTTATGAGTAAAAATTCTAAATATTTTAATATTCTTCTGAGTTTTAATATCTAACATTAGTAGGCATGTAGTTTTGACTGTAGTTAAAATACTTCAAATTTTCTTTCTTTAATATTTAAAGAAATACGTTAAAGCTAAAAAAAACTTTTTCACGAAATATATCAAGAAAAATTATTACAAATATCACGAAATCTGAACCTTTTACATTTTATTTTTATTATAAAAATAAAGAAATCTTTCCAACCCAATTTATTCTCGGGGCTTCTTTGAAGACAGTATGGTTTAATCTAAAAACATTTCGATTAAACAAATTTATCATCGTTAAATATTAGGTGACATTTTAACTCTGTGGTCGTACACCACCTTCTATAAGATCACCCTTAATTAACCTTAACCGTGTGATGACTGTCCTCCCCTAAGGGTGGGGCAAATGTCAAACACACACGTCATCAGCTTCCTAGGCATTTGACATCGATTGCGAAAACAGATCAAAATTCTGTATTGATGTTTCGAACATACCCTGTCAAGTATTGTTCTTAGAGTTTAGAGTATTGTTCTAAATAACGTGAAAACTCTCCGTCTCTCGCTTTACTAAATATCATTCAATAGTTGCCTTTCCAGATTAATTGCTTAAGCTATTTTGTTTCTGATCATTTATTTCACAAAAATACATTTTAATGCGAGATCTTTTTTATACTTTTGCCTCATGATTTAATAATTGTTTTTTTTCATTCCTTTGCTAATGAATTTTCTAGCAATTCAATTAACTTTTGTTTCAAAATAAATTATTAAACCAAATTCCAACAAGTTAAAAAAAAACTCGAAGGAATTAAATGAAAGCAATTTTCTAATCTTATTCTGATATTAAAAAAAATCCTGATAAAAGATTGAAAGAATGTTGTTTCACTGAGATACAATGAATGATGCCAGATTTTAAACATCGAAGGATTTTTAAAAATACTGTATTAAGTAAATATATATATGTGTCGTAACCACATTTAAAAGAGTTCTCTCAACAATAACAGTTTTTGACTAAAACGCTGCTAAATTACCTATAAGTCAGTCGTATTAAACTATTCTCTTTTTTGATCATGTAATCATTAAATTCTTTAAAAATTGAATAAGGTATTCAATATCGGATGTCGTTTTTTAAGCTAGAATAACGCGTAATATTACAAAAATACTAAAAATATGCAGTTTCGGGCTATTTCATGAAAAAAAAGAATTGAAATTGAATTTTTATACCAAAATATATTCATCTGAATTATTTATCTTTATATTCTATGAGCTTGAAACTATTGTTAACAATGCAAATTATTTGATACATAACATTTTACTAACACACAAATTCTTATACAGTAAATATCGCTTAAAAACGAAACTGAAGGAACTGAAATATTTTTCGGTGTTAAAAGAATTTCGTGTTAAGAGATATTGCAAAAAAAAAAAAAAAAAAAAAATCCAAATATATATTAACAAAATTAAGTTTATTATTTATTTTATTTACATAGATATGTATATATGTAAATATTTCGTATAAATCAATGAAACAAAAACACATTCACAAAAACTTAATGAAATTCATTACAAAATTTTCTTTTTTGAAAAAAAAAAACGTTTGAGTTTTTGGAAATTAATATAATATTTTTATTTGCATTGTTTTTTTTATCATAAAATTGTCAACAAATTGTTTGAAATCGTCAATTTTGTTATTCATTTCACCATTGGAATGTGCATCTAAATAACTCTGCGCATACTTTTCAAGACATTCCTCATTTTGAATGATGTGGGAACAGGAGAAGCATTATTCATTTCATTTTCATCATCGGAATCTGCACAATGATATATTTTGCGCTTTGAACAAATTCCAAAATGTTAGTATACACACTATCATCCTACACTGCAAGGAATTGTTCCGATAATACAATAGGGCCACCCAATAATCCAATCCGGTTGGTTATTTCCGTATTTTGCTCGTTCCCAGAAGGGAAATCTTTTCATGTTAAGTGATTCTTGTTTCGTGTTAAGAGAAATAAATACATGCAAATGCATTGTATTGTATTGTATTTTGCAGAGACCATTGAACTATTTCGTGTTAACCGATATTTCGTCTTAAGCGTTTTGGCGTTAAACGTATTTTACTGTATCGCAGTAGTATAAAATTGTTGGAAATCTGTCTCACCTGGAATTTCATATATAACTAACTCCAAAAGGGGAAATATAAGCAAATCGTGATGCTATTAATCGTGCTGCATTTAATTTGCATAAATTTTCTATTTCCTATAGAATCGATAAATGCCATTCTATTTAACGGCATGCACGTGATATTCTTATTTGAAAGATTTATTATTATGACTGCTTTGAAGATTTTTCACGATTTAATATTAGAAGGATCATACTATATGAATGAATTGTGTTTAGTGCTATTTTAAGAAAATTAAAAATAATTAAAAATTAAATTATTTTTTAAAATATTAATTTTTAAAGTTTGTTTTGTGTTTTTCTGATGGAATTTTATTACCAGTTCTTACGTATGAATTTATCTTGTTTAAATAAACGTAGCGAATTTTTTTTTTTTAATTTTTGTCTCCGATTATAAATTACATACGCATGTTTTTCTCTCAAAGATTCAATGATAAAAATACCACTAGATTTAGCGAAAGCTTTAATACATATCTAGAAAAATTATTTTTTCTAGAAGAGAAAAAAAAATACACAAGGTTTCTAATCCTCAATAATAACTCGGAAAAGAAAAAAAATTAATCACGGGATTACTTTCATAAATGAAAATTTTTTGTATGCGCTTCATCATAACTAGAGTCTGAATTATTTAATTACAAAAGTGTGGTTCGATGACATAACATTTTTAATTACCATTTGCTGAGTAGAAACATGGAAAGCATTAATCATAACAAAAATGTTCGCTAATTTGATAAATCATTTTAATTTAATTAAATGTGTAACAGGACACAATTTAATGGAATGTGTAATACCACATAACTTATATATATAAATGCATCTTTGGTGTTGAACCTTATAAATGCCATGCCCGAGATAATCTTAGGCATGGCACTAAAGCTCCAAAATGTCACACCCGAGTATCATACGGGGTAATTGCTTAAGGGTCTTAGGGGTGTTAAATTTCTCTAGAAGTCTGAAAATATGAACAGTTTTCAAACAGGTATAATTCTTTTAAATTTAAATTAAATAATTCGAGTCTTTGACACATTTTTATAAGGAATGGGGCTT